GCAAAGCCTCACGGGGTCTGTGGCCACATGCAGAGTGAAATATAGGCCTGCTGCTGTAGGAGATTGGGTCAGACAGTAGGCTATACATTCAATGCAAACACACTCCCCTAACAGAACAAAGACAATGTGTGTACTCTCCACAACGCCTGCCATTTAACAAGAGACTGAGAAGTGAGAGCAAGCAAGTGTGTGTTTACATACCACTTAAGGCGCCCGGATGCTTCCCAGAAGAAACAGTTCGGAAGAGTTCGTGCATCATTGTTTTTGTTTGTTTTGGACTTCGATAAGGTATTTTTTCGGTTTTTCAGGCACACTAAATGTTTTCTTGAGGCAAGCCGAAGTCAGTAGCCGAAGTCTACGCCCCTTTGTCGGTGATCGGTCAAGTCTGTTGTCATTCAACGAGACGACTCATTTTCATGCACAGTTTTCCATTGAGAAATACTGCACCAAACATCTTAGCTAGATGTATAATTAAGCGACTAATATCTCCTCTGCAAAATGTAAAAAAATTAATGACAGATTTCTTGAGTTATTCTTAGATTAATTCTCACTACGGCGTCTCAAAATGGACAAACAGTACTATTTCCGCTTTTTTTCTCATTTTTCAAGCGTAGGTCCTTTAAAGGAGTATTGGAGCACACTCGTTCAGTTGGCCTAGCCGACCTCGGCTAGCCTCCAGCCAAACTGAAGCATGCTGATGCATTTACACACTGCTATGGAGTGATTATGAATTGATTTGTATTCAATGGCAATCTTAAAATTATGCCTCGCATGAGACCATGGGCATACTACAAAGGCATACATTTTACTCTCTGCGTTGTCGTAAGTAAGCATTTCACTGTTAGTCTACACTGAGTATACAAAACATTAGGAACACCTGCTCTTTCCATGACAGACTGACCAGGTGAAAACTATGAACCCTTATTGATGTATCTTGTTAAATCCACTTCAAATCAGTGTAGATGAAGGGGAGGAGACAGGTTAAAGAAGGATTTTTAAGCCTTGAGACATGGATTGTGTACGTGTGCCATTCTGAGGGTGAATGGGCAAGACAAAAGATTGAAGGGCCTTTGAACAGGGTATGGTAGTAGGTGCACCGGTGTGAGTGTGTCAAGAACTGCAACACTGCCGGGTTTTTCACACTCAACAGTTTCCCGAGTGTATCAAGAATGGTCCACCACTCAAAGGACATCCAGCCAACTTGACAATTGTGGGAAGCATTGGAGTCAACATGGGCCAGCATCCCTGTGGAATGCTTTCGACACCTTGTAGTCCGTGCCCCGACAAATTGAGTCTGTTCTGAGGGCAAAAGGGGGTGCAACTCAATATTAGGAAAGTGTTCTTAATGTTTTGTACGCTCAGTGTACACCTGTTGTTTACGAAGCATGTGACAAACAAAATCTGCTTTGATACTAAACTAGCCTGGTCCCAGATCCTTTTGTGCTCTTGTCAACTCATGTTTGGCACCGCAATGAGTGAAAGGGAGTTGGCATGACAACACAAACAGACTGGCACTCAGGCAGGATAATACTACACTTGTGCCATAGCATTTCCTGCCCTGTGTTGTGTGAGAGAACAGGCTGGATCAAAAAGCTAATGCTTATGAGAGAGTTGTGCTTTTGAGAGGGATTAAAAAGGGAATGTGTTGACTGCAGCTGAGACTCACATGAGGAGAGGCTCAGGCACCAAGTTGCGATTAGTCACCCAGTGCAATGACAAACAGCTAAGCCAAGGCACTGTGGTCCTCTGTAGCTCAGCTGGTAGAGCACGGCGCTTGTAACGCCAGGGTAGTGGGTTCGATCCCCGGGACCACCCATACACAAAAATGTATGCACGCATGACTGTAAGTCGCTTTGGATAAAAGCGTCTGCTAAGTGGCATATTATTATTATTATTATTTATTATTATATATTATTACAGTAGTGACTAGTGGGATGGTAACTCTGTAGCTACTACAGTCAATCAAGGGGGAAATAGGCCTAGCTAGGTTGCAATACGAAACAGAGTACCTATTGAATTGTATTATACCCTTGTACATACCACTAGACGTCACTCAACTAAAAATCTAAATACCAGGAGACAGACTTTACATAATGCAGGACAGTCCAGCAGCTGTTACTGAGAATAGTGGAGGAAAAACAGGATGGCTTATAAATTCAAGCCCCATTACGTTTCATCATCACCCATTACGTCATCTCAATATACCCCAGCTATTGTAATAGCTTGGTTCCTGTACAGTCCTGTCTTACTGACAGGACACCGAGTTCATGTTCAGAGATGGTCACAGATTCTAATGCATGTTTTATGTGACAAACAGATCAAGATAACGTTTTTTGTTGTTTTTTTTTTACCTTGTTGCAATATAGCATCCAGACCTCGTACAATCTTTCATTGGATGCCATTCTCCACGGCGCGTGGTGGGCTTCCAAACAGAGGTCACTTCTCCGGATTCCTCATATTGAGTAGCTAGCTAGATCTCCCCAGTCGGGTATTGCTCGTATACATTTGAGATGTTAAGTGAAATGTCACAATGAAAGACAACTTCCAAAAGAGTGAAAATACCTTCCTGTTTAGAAAGGAAAAACAAAATATTCAAATGTAATTCCAGTGGGGGTGTTTGTTGATATTGGAACTTCGTAAATCATTATTCCATTGTGAATTATGGATTCCCAAGGGTTCGCGTTTCCTGCTGTGGTGAGATTTCCACCGTCAAAGTCGCACTTCGTCCACTTCTCGGCTTGAGTCATATGCCACTGACTCTCCCCTTCTGTGGAAACCCACAAACAAGGTTAGCATGCAAAATACACAAGTTCGGTGGCGCCAGTTTATAAATAGCTAACAGCACTTGTTTATCAATACAACACCAGTAGGCTATGCCAGTGGTAACGTTAGCTGACTGTTTGATAGCTAGTTTAGCTTGCTGTAAACAAACCCTATCAATCAGCCATCATCAGCCCAGGCAAGTTCTGTTCAATTAGATCTCTGCCCTTCCTTGGTAAGAGAAGGACACAGCTGACGAAATAAAACACAACAAAGCTAGCTAACTTGCAAGCTAACTTGAGGTTTCAATATGCAGAAAAACGCTCGAGTTAGCTAACAAGTTGTAATTGTGAAGCAAGGTGGCTAAAATTAACTAGCATTATAGTTCTTACCTGATGTGTCAAAACATCGAAGCCTTTTTTTTCCTGTCTACTTCTCATTAGGTACAAACGACGAAACGAGTTTGTGAATTTGCTTGACCCAGCCCTAAAATGAAGACATTTAGAAATGTCGCCACATAAACAATGCAAACGCACGCATTACTAACGAAAAGGACTAAATGTTACAACCAGCCCATTCCTGTACACTGGGACAACTACAAACAACACTTGCGTTTAGTGCTGTGGTACTGCCGCTCGTGAAGCTGTCTAGAATGTGCGAAACGCGACCAACTACTTCCTGATGTCAACTTCTTCCATTTTCAAAGTAAACGTTCTCATTTATATATATATATATATATATATATATATATATATATATAAACAAAACATAGGTAGAAGTGTATACTGATCAATAATAATGCTGGCAAAATAACTCACAAAACAAACAGATTAACACAAATGAATTTCTCTAAATAAAAAAGAACTGAACTGAATCCAAAATGGATTTGGCCTAAGTTAGCCTACTGTTTAGACAAAATACAGCCTACCAACATATGGGGATACTCTCCCATCAGAGCTTACAGACGACTGGCAAAGCCAGTAATAATAAAAACATATTGCTTGGGCTAAACCAGCTCCACATATAAGCAGGGGTGCACATAACTGAGTAGGCCCTATAACTCGGATCGCCTGAATTTAGTTTGGGGAAAAAACTTTTTATAAATGGGAAAAGTTAAACAATAAGTGATTTTCATAAAAACGGTGCTTTTATTTTGACATGTAAATCCGGAAGTCGAGATATTTGTATATCTTGCTGTCGTCAATTGCCTTGCTAGCATAGGCTGAGTAAGGGGAGCCTCGAATATAATTCGATTTATTTGCCGGGCACAATATATATTTCGGAGGCAGAAGACATTCAGTTATACATGTATGTCTATGAAAGGAATTATTTCTGTATTTTTCTTAGGATGCAGAGTTTGCGACAGTCATCAACCCCTTTACGTTGCCGATGTGGAGCTCCTGGGTCGTTATGGGTGGGTCTTGGTTGCGAGGGACCCGAGTTTACGTTTGGCTGTGATTGGTTTCTTTCAGCTGATCACCATGTTGTTATGCAGTTACCGCCTACTAGGGTAAAATTATAGGAGTTCCTCGGTCGTACATCATATGTTATAGCAATCTGTCAGGAGATGACGTTGTCGCCGACGTTGCACGCAACCATTGGTTGACGCATGCAACGTCTGAGCAGGGGAACGTGACCAATGATGTGGCTAGCTGATACTTAACATACCTATCCAGGCGTTGTAAGATCTAGCATGCATCAACAACACCTGGGAAGAGGATCACGGCCATAATAATGGCTAAACCCCCTGTCTATTTCTACAATTTCGCTTCTTAAGATCTGATTTTACACCTTACCTTAAGCACACTGCTAACCTTATGCCTAACCCTAACCTTAAATTAAGATGTTAAAAAAGCACATTTTTGTTTTCATGATTTTTTTTTACAATATAGACAATTTCGACTTTGTGGCTGTGTTAACTATTGACAATCGAGTTCCTCCAGCTTTTTCCTCACAGAGAGCAGTGGCAGAACGGTTAAAAGTATGTTTTCTCATGATCCACTCATGAGTAATTATACTTCAAAACCCTTCTTCTTGAAAAAAGGTATTATGGTATGCAGATAATTTTATTTCTGCCTGATGTTAACTAAATGTTGCCGTGAAATAGTTTTTTTGTTGCCAGGTAGGCATGAGCCATAAGACTGAAAACAATGAAAAATGCAGCAAATGCTTAAACTTGAAGCATATTGATAAACCATGTCTATGTATTTATTCATCTCCACAGTTATTCCTTTATTTTATTATCTTTTGGCACTACCCTCTGCTTTGTCTGTTTCAGCCTGTTGATCACGTGTCTGGTCTACTGGAGGGCCTTGGCTGGGGCCACAGTGGCCTTGCTGCTTCTGGTTCTTGGGGCTCCTGATTGGGGCGACCCAGTGGGGGAACAGGTCCTGTACCACACTGTGTTTGTAGTCCTTCCAGCGGCTGTGTTCCAGGAACACAGTGCACAGCTCGTCGTCGCTACACAGGAAGACAACACAAAAGCTATCTTAATAATATATGCCATTTAGCAGACGTTCTTATCCAAAGCGACTTCCAGTAATGTGTACATTCCCCCTAGGTAGATCTGAGAGGATTAGATAGGTATAAGCAATACAGTGAAAGTTCCACCTTGCCCTCTGTGGATTGCTTGCCATACACCTATCTAGTCCTGAGTCCTCTTAGATCTACACAAACACCTAGAGGGTAGGGGCTAGGGGTTGTTTCTGGTCCCCGTCTTTTCAATGAGGTGCACCAGTAAGGTCAGCCCATCTGCACTGGTATCCATAAGTGTCACCTTGGGTAGGTTTTCTGCAGGGCCTCCAGCTTCTTCATGGTGGTGTTGTCCACCAGCTCGTCAAAGCGAGTCTTCTCCACCCGCAGGATCTCCACGCTCTGGCTGACCAGAGTGAACCTGCGACAGTCTCTCTGCTTCGACGGCATCAGGTACTGGTTCAGACCCTGCATCACACCACACAGCAGACAGACACAACCATAGAGTTAGAAAACACTAGAGCAGGTTTTGATTGGTTCAGACCCTGCACCTCACCACACAGCAGACACACCGAACCATAGAGTTATAAATCACTAGAGGAAGAGATGAAGGAAGTGATTACAACTCTATGCACAGAACACAGCATGCCATGGATGTCATACTATCATGTCTTTACATGGTCATCCATGCTGAACACAAGGCACAAGCACCATACAGATTTCTTCCCATGCTTGATGTGGGTAAAGTCTGGACCATAGGGCTACGTACAAATGTGCTGCACTGATGAAGGGTGTCGATCAGGAAACAGGCGCTAGTGGGTAGATCTGCAGGAAGTCCTCTGGGAGGACGTGGAGGATTATTGAGGAGGACTTTGTGTTTTATGACACTGAGGAAGAGTAGAACAGACAGACACAACTTATCACCGGGCACCAAACTAACTGGATGGACACAGCTGAGATGCAGCGACGTCACTGATGTGTGGTACGTCCAGGTAAGTACACTGTGGCCAGTTACACTACCTTCCTGGTTGGTTTGTCAGCTCGCCTTTGAATCCATGTGTTGGCAAACATGTACCTCTGCTTACTGAGAGAGAGCGACAGGGAAAGAGAGAGAGAGATATAGAGAGAATGCTTTAAAAAAATTGTCCTTCAACAAGTCATTGCACAAATATTATAATCTTACTCAAAACTCAATATAAACAACAGACCATTTTTTAAATTAAAGTAAATTAAGTGTTACTCTGGTTGCTATAGGATACAGGGAAAATTGGGGTTGCCTAGAACTTAATGCTGAAATGTGAACTGTGTATATTGTATGCATATTTTGTGTGTCTTCATGTTACAGTATGATTATATTATGAACACATACCTGAGTCTGCATACTGTTTTAGGAGGCGTTGGTAGGCACTGCAGGAGGTAAGGTCCACCACCCTCAACACATCACATTGGCCCTGTAATGGAAGCATATCACCTCAAACATCTCTGCCTGCAACTACATTACCCATCATGCCCCACATGTACTGTAGGCCTACAAGTTAGCCCCCCAGTTACCTTGCCAATGAAAATGATGTTGCCCATGTCGTTGGTGTCCTTGACGACCATGTGGCCGTAGCGAAATTGCTCGGCCTTGGAATGGTCAGCCATCTGTTCAATGAGAGAGTATGGCCAGGAGGACACTAGCCGGAGTGACCTGGGAGGGAAGGGACATGGTGTGAGTACCTGTGACTGAGAGTTACAAACACCATTTGTAGTGGGAATTCAAGTAGGCTTCCGCGCTTCAGCTAGCAGCTGGGGTGCTCAACGAAGACAGGTTTGTAGCGGGAATTCAGGTAGGCCTTCGCTCTTCAGTTGGAAAGTAGGAGCGGTGCTCAACAACAAATACAGGTTTGTAGCGGGTATATTCAGAAAGCGATAGTAATACATCCTATTATCTCACCGGAAGAACCTGAAGCGATAATCAAACTCCCTCTTGAGCTCTACGTCCATCTTGTTAGCGAAGAAGTCTTCCTTGTCGACCACCATGAGCTCTGTCTCCTCCATGCACACCACAGTGGCATTCCTCCTCAGCGTTTTGATCAAGGCCACATCCTGACAGACACCAGTTACTAACCGTTCATCATCAGAACAGTCAACCACACGATTGCTCCAGTAGCCTAGCTACGGTCAGGTTTGCTATGTCATGTGGTTGAAGCTACTCGTCTGCGTTGCCCATCAGGCTTTGAATGTATGTGAGGTATGAAGTTCGCAAGAACCCAGATATCTTTTGCCTAATCACTAAACAATATCACTACTGTTCTCACCACTACTACCTCCGCCATCACTACTTCTACTATTGATAATGATATTGCATCTTTAAAAAATTGCTTCTTACAAAAACGCATAATTGTGAGGCCTCACCCCGAAGCTCATGCCCTTCTTGATGAGGATGGGCTCCTTATCCACGAAGGCACTGCTACCGTCGTTGTCCTTGGTGACGGCCAATAGCCCAGAGAACACAAAGTAGAAGCTGTGTCCCCAATGGCCCTTCTTAATGACTACTCTGCGACGCTCCAACCTGCAGGCATATCCGCGCCGGGGTGATTGGTAACTCTTTATTTGTTCTTTATTAGGATCCTCATTAGCTGTTGTAAAAGCAGCAGCTACTCTTTATTAGGATCCTCATTAGCTGTTGTAAAAGCAGCATCTACTCTTCCTGAAGTCCACACAAAACATGAAACATGACATAATACAGAACATTAATAGACAATAACAAACTTGCAAAGCATTATATTGCCTTATAAACATATTTGTAGCACCTTATGCAGCTGTGATAGGCCTATATTATGGCATTATGGCTTCTTGTGCGTTAATGCTTGTAGGCGACAACATATACTCCTGTATCCGTGGGAACCAGGGCTATCGCTCAACGCAAGCCATTTCGATCTACGGTATCCACAGATCGATTTATAAGCGGCATTGTCGTCGGAACTGGTACCAGAACCACGCAGGTCCCCTAAACTAAAGGGCACTTCTATGAGGTTAATGCTTTATTGTACAGTTAAGTATAAAGCTCTATGACTGCATCAATGAAGTCCTATGAATGTTTATAAGGCAATATAACACTTCACAAGAAGAGTATTATAGCCTACCAGTAGGTCAATGGCAGCTATACATGCCAGCAAAGCACAGTATAGGCTAGTAAAACAAGGGTTGTGTATATTAGGCACTAAAAGAAACCAAATTGACTGAAACAGGGAGGGACTTCCCGTTGCGTGCAGGGGTTCCCAAACTTTTTCTCTCAGGCCCCCCTTCCAGCATTGGGGGAACATCTCAGGCCCCCCTTCCAGCATTGGGGAACATCTCAGGCCCCCCTTCCAGCATTGGGGAACATCCCGCGCCACCCCCCCCCCCACACATCTATTTCTATGGGCACAAATAAATAAAATTTTATTTGCCCACATGCGCCGAATACAACAGGTGTAGACATTACCTGTGAAATGCTTACTTACAAGCCCTTAACCAACAATGCATTTTTTTTTTTGTGAAAAATAAAACAACAACAACAAAAAAGTGTTGAGAAACAAGAGCAGAAGTAAAATAAAATAACAGTAGGGAGGCTATCTACAGGGGGGGTACCGGTGCAGAGTCAATGTGTGGGGGCAACCGGCTAGTTGAGGTAGTTGAGGTAATATGTACAGTGGGGGAAAAAATTATTTAGTCAGCCACCAATTGTGCAAGTTCTCCCACTTAAAAAGATGAAGAGGGCCTGTAATTTTCATCATAGGTACACGTCAACTATGGCAGGCAAAAAAATCCAGAAAAATCCAGAAAATCACATTGTAGGATTTTTTATGAATTTATTTGCAAATTGTGGTGGAAACAAGAACTGGTCAAACAAGTTCTCACTTGTTATATCCCTGTGGCACCAGGTCAAACGTTTCAAGTCTTCACATTTCCAAACTGTGGTACCTTGAATGACCTCCAAGAGCTGGACCAAGGTAAAGCTACCATCGCTAACACACGCAGGACTCAAATCCATGCAGTTCAAGGGTGTCCCTCTGAGACGGTACCACTCCAGGACCTTGAAACTCTTAAGCCACTGCTTAGTTGGCCTTTGGATTGATTCGAGAATGATTGATGGAAAATGTAAAGGTTCATTCAACCAATAGATTTTGGAGTTTAAAACTCAAATCCGTTTGGAGGACAAGCATTTTCTTGACATCCAAAGACACCCTCCTTTGCGAAGCAAAGGGGCGGAAACATCATGTTTGGCTCCTTTTCAAGGACAGGAGGACTGACCCTTGTAAAGGAAAGAATATTGGCGCCATGTATCGACGAGTTATTTTTGAGTGAAAACTCTTTCCATCGGCCAGGATGAAGATCAACGTCTCGGATCTTCAGCATGACACTGACCAACACGGGCCTGGACATGTACCTTAGCAGTGGAAACTTCGTAAGAAGCATTTGGGTCCTGGCGGGCCTAGCCAGTCTAGATCTAGCCTTGAAATATTTGGCATCTCGCGGATTAACAGTCTGTGTTCCGGGATTCTCACCCCAATCATCATTTGCTCCAGGTGAGATCTGTGGGAATGGGCCCCAGACAGTGGATGTAATCACCTTGTTGAACTTACAAAATTTCCTATTTCATTCCCAAACAAGGGTATAAACAACTGTATTGAGAAATTCAGTTTCCAGCCTGGTTCCACTACAATGTACTGTTGGTGTTTAAGCTTTGATTTGGGCCATATGAAGTTTAGAGTAGAGCACGTTTGAGGTTGTGGAGGGTAAGTGCAAGTTCAAACAGGGTGCCATTAATACATTTACGTTGAACATTTGGGCCTTTAGCAGACGCTCTTATCGAGGCCGACTATCATTGGTGGTGGGGGGGGGGAGAAGGATTATTTATCAAATTCCAGGTATTCTTAAACAAGGTGTTTGAATTTCTCCGGAGTGGTGTGTGTCCGTGTCTGTGGTCGTGGGGCCTATGTACATTGGGGCCCATACGCTAAGTGATGACTGGGCATGGGGCGGGAAAACTTTTTTCCCAAGTAATGGGGCAGAGTAAGGTGATGCAAAATGCCTCGTTTGGATGTAGGGACTGATCAGAGGAAGGTCGGAGGTGCCGTTCCCTCACAGCTCCTAGGAAGCACCATGGTCTTGTAACAGATGCGAGCTTCAAATGGAAGCCAGTGGAGTGTGCGGAGGAGCGGGGGTGACGTGAGAGAACTTGGGAAGGTTGAACACCAGACGGGCTGCGGCATTCTGGATGAATTGTAGGGGTTTAATGGCACAGGCAGGGAGCCCAGCCAACAAGCGAGTTGCAGTAATCCAGACGGGGAGATGACAAGTGCCGGATTAGGACTGTGCCGCTTCCTGTGTAAGGCAGGGTCGTACTCTCCGAATGTTGTAGAGCATGAACCTCCAGGATCGGGTCACCGCCTTGATGTTAGCGGAGAACGACAGGGTATTGTCCAGGGTCACACCAAGGCTCTTCGCACTCTGGGAGGAGGACACAACGGAGTTGTCAACCGTGATGGCGAGATCATGGAACGGGCAGTCCTTCCCCGGGAGGAAGAGCAGCTCCGTCTTGCCAAGGTTCAGCTTGAGGTGGTGATCCGTCATCCATACTGATATGTCTGCCAGACATGCAGAGATGCGATTCGCCACCTGGTTATCAGAAGGGGGAAAGGAGAAGATTAGTTGTGTATCGTCAGCGTAGCAATGATAGGAGAGGCCATGTGAGGATATGACAGAGCCAAGTGACTTGGTGTATAGCGAGAATAGGAGAGGGCCTAGAACTGAGCCCTGGGGGACACCAGTGGTGAGCGCACGTGGTGCGGAGACAGCTTCTCGCCACGCCACTTGGTAGGAGCGACCGGTCAGGTAGGACGCAATCCAAGAGTGAGCCGCGCCGGAGATGCCCAGCTCGGAGAGGGTGGAGAGGAGGATCTGATGGTTCACAGTATCAAAGGCAGCAGACAGGTCTAGAATGATTAGCTGTTCAGGAGTCTTATGGCTTGGGGGTAGAAGCTGTTGAGAAGCCTTTTGGACCTAGACTTGGCGCTCCGGTACCGCTTACCGTGCGGTAGCAGAGAGAACAGTCTATGACTAGGGTGGCCTTCCTCTGACACCGCCTAGTATATAGGTCCTGGATGGCAGGAAGCTTGGCCCCAGTGATGTACTGGGCCGTACGCACTACCCTCTGTTCATGACACAAACTGTTCACACCCCTCTTGTTGGCGGAGAGAAATATTTGCAGGTTTAAAGCTTATTTCCTGCAATTCTACACATTTTGTCACGGGGTACAGATAACATTTAGCAGTTTTAAAGCTCATTTATTGTGTATTCATGTGATATTTGAGAGACTCGAACATTACTACAAAATCTACGGGCTTAAAAAACGTTAGCTGACATGGGCTAGTTGATCTGGACATTTCTGAGAAGTTATAAATAGCTCTCTAAGGTATGCAATGACTGACATGACAAGAGGAAAACTGATGATGCACTACCCAATTTCAAAAGTGCACCTTGTGCATTCTACTCTTACAACTTTCAAGAGTAAGTTGAAAGCCGGACTGAGTTCCTTAAAATTGTTTAAATAATTTTGGGAACCACTACCCTAAGGAACCCAAGTAATTGACAGGGGATTGACCTCTAACCTCTGATAGCGAACCACCCTGGCCAGAAGGAGTTGCAGGGTTCCGCTGTAGCGACGGAACATGCTCACAGAGCTCAGCATGTTGTGAATCAGCAACACCTCCGACTCAGAACGCTCCTCCGGGCACTTCCGCATTATCTCCACCAGCAGGACAGGGATCCGGTCCTGGAATATTCCAGACATAACACACATGTATACAAGCACACGTACGCTCACACACATAGCATTCATGCACACAGACAGAGACACACACATAGGCAGACACACACACACACCAAGGAGAACAACGTTCCTTACAGTCATAAACACAGTATGGTCATACCCAGCATTGGTAATCTAAATTCATACAGTGAATGTGCAAATAGTCAGGAATGATTCGCCAGGAAGGTGGATCTTTTTGAATATGAAAGTGGATGAAAAACAGATTTGGCTCATTAATCTATATGGTCAGGATCAGGATGATCCATCCTTCTAAAATATTTATACCAATTTATTGAACTTACAGGCAATAAATGATCAAATCGTTATGGTGGGAGACTATAACACAGTGTTAAGTACCTCAATGGACCGTAAAGGGAATCACTCTACAAACTATCATCAACGTGCCCTTAAGGAAATCACAAATATTATGGACACATTAGAAATAGTGCCCTGTAGCTCAGTTGGTAGAGCATGGCGCTTGCAACGCCAGGGTTGTGGGTTCGTTTCCCACGTGGGGCCAGTATGAAAATGTATGCACTCACTAACTGTAAGTCGCTCTGGATAAGAGCATCTGCTAAATGACTAAAATGTCAATGTAATATTTGGAGACTAAAACACCCTGACCTAGTGAGATATACATGGAGGAGACTTAATCAAGCTAGTCATCTTGACTACTTTCTTGTCTCTTTCTCTCTTGCAACAAAGGTTTAAAAAGTTTTAATAGGAGACAGAATGCGATCGGATCATCATCTAATTGGCCTTCACATAACTCTTATAGAATTTCCACGTGGACGGGGATATTGGAAATGTAATCAAAGTTTACTAGAGGACAATGCATTTTTAACTAAGACAAAATTATTTATAACTTAATTTTTCCGATACAATATAGGTTCACCAAATCCCCTTATTGTTTGGGATACCTAATATTCAATAAATAAACAAATTAAAAATTAAAAATCATACGGTCACGTTACCTCTTTCACTTTGAAGTGGTTCAGATCAAACACCAGATTTTTACCCTGCAAGAACAGAAATCAATGTTTACTTTCCAGTCTTTCTGGACATCAAAACTGTAGCTTCTTTCTAAATCTCCCATCAGGACCACTGCATAAACCCGTAGACCCGTTTGCCCAACAAAACACAGCACCTTATCACTTCCCCTTTACAGTACCATTCTCCTACACACACACACACACCGTTCCCCCGGCCGGCTGGTTGGTGATGGTCTCCCGGAAGTTGAACTCCATGAATTGGCGATAGTTGGAACGGGACATGAAGTAGCGGCAAAGACGAGTCATCAGGATGACTCTGCGCACCGCCCACTTAAAGCCCAGCTTGCCCCGGCATGGAGCAGCCTGCACCGGGGCCGAGAATAACATCTCCGCTGCCTGCTGGAAATGTAAAACCGCCGATGGCTAGGGGAGGGAGGGAAGACCGGAGGGAGGGAGGGAAGAACGGAGAGAGAGAGAGAGAGAGGTCAATATATGGACCGTAAGGTCATTGGCATTGTCACTATATCTCCTCCTATACACACATGGTCAGAGGACACAGGTTGGACTGAACTATGAACTAGAGTTGTATACATAACAGTACATGCTGTTGATAAGGGGAGGAGTTTATGTGGCCAGATCTGAAGGCCTAAACGTGAACTAAGAGAGTCTATGGAGAGCCCTGTTACCATGGAGATACAACTAAGATGGTATCTATGCACATTACCACATCCTTGAGGTCCGTCTTGGCCTCCTTCGCAGCTGCTGGAAACAGAATGAGATGCTGATCAAATGAACTAATATCCCTCACCAGGACAAAATGATAGATTTTGTAGATGTAGATCGTCTCTTCTCCCCCCGGGGTGGATGTTTCTAAGCCACATTATTTTTGCAGATGTGAAAGAAGAAAGAATGTGGCTTTACCTTCCTCTGCTTTCTCTAATGTCTCCATGGTCCAATGGCGTCAGGTGTTGTTTGTTTTTGAAATATGGACTCCACCCACTAGAGAGGTTCCTCTGTGACATCACATGGTGCATTCTATCATAGTCTCAGCCAGGACAGGTGTCTTCTGAATCCCCCTGTAGAAGGGCCAAGTCCCCCCAGTAGTATAGATACCCCAGATGGACAACCACAACGCTAGTCCATATTCTGTAGACTTTAGGCATAGTAGACTATTCAGTGATGTAGTCAGGAGTCAGATATTTGTTCATCCCCCTAAAGGTTAAGTGGATGTGGGGGTAGGAGAACCTGATCCTAGATCTGTGGTTGGCGCAACTCCTACCTCAAGCGATGCAGTCCTAAACACATTATCGCCAAAACCAATCCCAACCTGACCTAAACTTTCAATAAGCCCTTATACAGCTTCTGTGTATTTAGGCTTCAACAGAGATTTCAGAAAGACAACCAAACAGAACTTCCAAAGACAATAAAAAAAAGGGCCTTTGTTTTAGAAAATGTATCATGAATATATTTATAACACTTCTATAAGGCTCATACAGCTATAACAGGTTTGATATGCACCAATACATCAAATGTCTCATACACAGAATCATCAATCACAGAATAATCCACAGAAATGTATCATAAACAGTTCACAGATTTCATAAAAACAATACAATTGAGGACCCTCCCATACGTTTATTATTACTACCTGTATAGGTTAGGTTGGCCACAAAGCACAGTATCGGTAGTGTTATAGTTCTTATTTGATCACAGGGTTTTCACTGGTAATACAGGGGAGGGATAGCAGCCTGGCCAATCAGACGGACCGCTGAGCTCACGTTTAGCTTCACTTCGGAATGTGAGCTATCGCGAGATCAGGCTGGTATCACAATGCTAGAGGGATAACCATAGAACTTCCTCTAACACACTAGCTATTCTCGTACCTTCTCTCCTCACACACGTGTGTTTTAACACTTATATCCTTTTAAACTCCATAACAAATTATTATCTATTGCCTCCAACTCCAAAACATATTATTATCTATTGCCTCCCTCTCCAACTCCATAACATATTATTATCTATTGCCTCCCTCTCTAACTCCATAACATATTATTATCTGTTGCCTCCCTTTCCAACTCCATAACATATTATTATCTATTGCCTCCCTCTCCAACTCCATAACATATTATTATCTATTGCCTCCCTCTGCAACTCCATAACATATTATTATCTATTGCTTCCCTCTGCAACTCCATAACATATTATTATCTATTGCCTCCCTCTCCAACTCCATAACATATTATTATCTATTGCTTCCCTCTGCAACTCCATAACATATTATTATCTATTGCCTCCCTCTCCAACTCCATGACATATTATTATATATTGCTTCCCTCTCCAACTCCATAACATATTATTATCTATTGCTTCCCTCTGCAACTCCATAACATATTATTATCTATTGCCTCCCTCTCCAACTCCATAACATATTATTATCTATTGCTTCCCTCTGCAACTCCATAACATCTTAAATGTATTATCTCCCTCTCCAAACCCTGACACATTATTATGTATGCCCCTTCACAGTCTAATAGCCTAAAATAGTTCACATTACATTTCGTAGTACGATCCATATGAGTCCAGTGATTGGTATTTTTCACTGGCATGGGGGTGTGTCCTGACTGTCCTGCAACGTCATTGGTTGTCATTGTCGTTGATTGGCAGCCACACCCATGGCACAGAGATCCTCAATGGATGATCCAGGCAGAGCAGCTCCATTAATCCCGCCCTCCTATTACAGCAGCTGGCCTATCTAAGGGGAAATGGCTCAGTTCTGCCTCCAGGACAAGAGTCATGACAATAAACATCAACCTGCTCCCTTATTTGAGTTTCAAAACAAACATATAAAAGCCTAGAAAACTAGTAGAAAGGCTCAGAGTGGTGGGTAGGACAAGTCCAATCAAAGCACAGTAGAAAGGTTTGGGCTCGCTGTTTTTGATCATTTTGATTGTCTTGAGTTAGGCTTGGTTGTCAGGTTTTGGGATGTGGGGGGCGGAGGTGGAGGGGGGGCAGGGAGGAGGATTAGGAGAAGTCCCACACCTCCTCTGTGGGGTCAGCAATGGGGGAGGTGGGGTGGTGGCAGGACGGGGTAGGGGAGCAGGACACAGGGGGGTCATCGGGGCTGGAAGCTCCAAGGGGCACCGCGGGGTACATGAGACTGAGGAAGGAGTCCCGGGTATGATGCCTTTTCACCTGTCATACAGTCCACAGAAAAACACATGAATACGAAGTCAGCCAGAACCATACCCCAGAATGCAATCCAGTCCAAAACACAGCATTTTGATGATGAGACCTACCTGTTTGAAGAAGGCATGGGTCAACAGTGTAGAAGCAGAGGGTCTATGGAACACCACAACAGGACAAAGTCACACCATGCCTTAATGTCCCACAACACTGTCATATCTAGCAGCACTAGTCATCTCACATATTACATGCCTTTCAAAAATGATGGAAATTCAGACGGAACACAAGAACATTTAAAACTGTTCCTTGAATGAAAAAAAAACAACACTTCAAACGGAGATGCCAGCACCCCTGTGTGTAATGTCTGCTGCTCCTGTGTGTGTCTCCCCTGCGTTCGTTCGTGTGTGTGTGTGTGTGTGTGTGTGTGTGTGTGTGTTGCGTTCGGTGTGTGTGCACGCGTGTACGTCTCACCTGCGGTCGGGCTGCTGTTGCAGACACAGCTGAACCAGGTTGTGCAGGGTGGCCGAGTGGTTCTTGGGGGCGGGGCTCTGAGGTCTCTCTGCAGTGGCGGTGCGAGTCAGGCTACCCGTGGCAACACTCTCCCCGATGCCAGAGTCCACCCCGGAGCGGGACACCTTCAGCCCCCCCAGCTCCCCCAGGGGGGAGGGGGCCACATCCAGCAGGCAGCAGTGGGAGCCACGCAGCTTCTGGAGAAGCATCTGGGTGGAGAGACACAGACATATGGAGCATGGACACAGTCACACAGTCACACACACACACACACACACACACACAGACACACACACACAGTCACACACACACACACACACACACACACACACACACACACACACACACACACACACACACACACACACACAGTCACACAGTCACACACACACACACACACATAGTCACACACACACAGTCACACACACACACAGTCACACACACACACACAGTCACACACACACACACACACAGTCACACACACACACACACACATGGAGAGATAGGGAGAAAAACAAGAGACTCTCACAGACTGAACTATGTTTTGTAATGTACGATAACAGCCCTAGCGTATGACATTGTGATGTATGTATGGCCCCAGTACCTGTGTAGGGGGCATGTCCTGGAAAGGCACCCTGCCACTGACCAGCTCACAGACTACTATCCCCAGACTGTAGATGTCTGACTTCACCCCGTAGCCATGCAGGTCCTGTCGTAGCAGCTCTGGGCTGAGCCAGGGTAGCAGGGCGGGGCTGTGGTGGGGCATGTCGAACACGGTCCTCACCTTCTTCCCATCCCGCATCATACTGTAAACGCTGTGCAGCCCCGAGAGGTAGACACGCCCCTCCCCAGACAGCAGGATGTGACTGGCCTTCACTCCCCTGAGAGAAAGAGGAGAGGAGGAGAGTTGTGGAAAAGAGCGTTCACTCTCGGCAAATCTTCAGGCTTCTACAGTCAACTAACTATTGATGATGCATTAGGTCGTTTTGACCAGCGGTGACCAACTGTCCCTGGCAGATTCTACATGTTGAATCTGCTCCGAGCAACTATGTCCAACGGTGACCAACTGAGACTGCAAACTAGGCTGATTCTTTCAACAAATCAAATGAAATGTTATTGGTCACATGCGCCGAATACAACAGGTGTAGACTTTACCGTGAAATGCTTACTTACGAGCCCTTTCCCAACAATGCAGAGTTAAAAAGGAAGAAACATGCGCTAAATAGGAAACATATAGTAACAGCCTTAAAACGGTCCATATCTCTCCCTTGTCCCATGGTGTTTTCTCCTCCCTCACCTGTGCACGTAGCCCATGCGGTGCAGGTACTGCAGAGCCTTCAGGACTCCGTGGAGGAGGTAAGCGATCAGGGACTCACTCATCCCATCAGGGAAGTACGTCCTCAGCAGGCTGTCTGCCGAACCTGGGACAGAGAGAGAGAGAGAGAGAGAGAGAGAGAGAGAGAGAGAGAGTAGGTAACTACCTGGTACCAAATGGTTCGTAATGTTGCTTACAAACATGCAATTCATGTAATTTCTGTACCGTAAAAAATAAAGTTCAACCAACTTATCTCTGAGAGAAGTAGCATGGACGAAGAGAGATGGGGGAGTAAGTGTGGGAGAGAGATGGTGAGAGGAAACGTGTGTTAGAAGATGCATGCAGTAGACTGACCGTAGCCCATGAGTGGTGTGAGGACCCAGAGCTGGCAGCAGGAGCTGAAGACCAGGCGAGAGGTCAGCAGGTTGGGGTGGCGGAACAGCCTGGAGAGAAGAACCTCATTCTGGGGACACAGCCAGCAAACATTAGGGTCACACAGCCAGGAAACACTGGGGTCACACAGCCAGGAAACACTGGGGTCACACAGCCAGGAAACACTGGGGTCACACAGCCAGGAAACACTGGGGTCACACAGCCAAGAAACACTGGGGTCACAGCAAGGAAACACTGGGGTCACACAGCCAGGAAACACTGGGGGTCACACAGTGAGCCAGATGGCTTATACCACTGCCAAGTGCCAACAATGTTATTATGAACAATGACCTAAAATGGTCACCGACCCTGGACCTAGAGAGCGCCAGTGCAGGTTTTTGTTCCAGCCCAACGCTAACTCATCTTATTCAAGTAATCAGCCGACTCAACTAAGAAATTGATTAGTTGAATCAGGTGTTTTGAATCAGTTGTGGCTGGAACAAAATATATATCTTACGACATGAACTTGCATTAAGAGACAAGGTGGGTCGTATCTGGACCTTTAATACAGTACCGCACCATCAGCTGTAGCAGCTCATCCTCAGTACACTCATCCAGGTTGGTGTTCTTGACTGCCACCAGCTGGCGGGAGGGGGTATGGCACGCCATGCGCACCTGGCTCAGGTTGTTGAAGCCCCTCCCTGTGAACATGGTTTGGTAATAAACATTAAGACGCGTAGAAAAACGTTCAACTCTGAAAATGCTTCACACTCAGGTATGGTTAGTATGGTCTTCAATAATACAGGGAGATTGTCAACTAGCCTTTTGAATTGGCCATTTTATTCAGCAGATGTGACAAAAGGCAATAGACTAAGCGTAGCATTAAATGTCCACAATACAAATGCTTTATACTCGGACTATGGGTAGCATGAGACTTGGTCAGTGAAATTGTAAACTAACCTTTTGGATTAGCCATTCTATTCAACAGTAATGTGCTAAAAGGCAATATGCTTTGTATTTATCAGAGGAGATATTACTCTGCAGGCAAAAACTATGGAGTGAAATGACTTGTCTGGGTTGTAGTGATTGGTTGATTTGTGACCAATGGGATGCTCACCCAGTTCTGACAGCAGCTGGTAGTGGGCGGAGTTAGCAGAGAGCGCTGTGATGTCATCGCTGCCTGCACCACCCCCGGTGAAAGTGCATTCTGAGACATCAGAGCTCTGTGAAGAATCAAACACACACGTACTCACACACAACCCTGAAACGTATCAGCAGCACTTTTCATTAGATCACAGAAAATGTAGTAACAACATGGTAATAGTATGGATAGAGGTTGTAGTAGGTCACAATAATAAACGGATTTACCTAGATAACCCTTTAAGGGATAGTTCACCCAAATGAACTGTTTTCCTTACAATGTAAGCAGTCTACAAGTGCTATAGTATAGTATGGTATTTTTTACTAACATGAAATGGGTCCATCTAGCAGAGAAGAGGAAGCAGAATGAGGGTGAGTGAGTGTTGCCTTTGAGCCTGAAGAGGTCAAAGTACTACGATGTTGTGGTGATGATCTACCAGTGGCTGCCACAGGGGGGCACTGTGGTGTTAAACTACACAGGGTGATGATGGGGGTAGTTACACTGGGGCCAGTGTTGGGGGAGGGAGAGGCTGTTGAGTACTTTGGTGTGTGTGTTTGAAATTTGATCATTTTACTCCAGTGCTAGCCTCTGGCTTCCTGTTAAGGCTAGGGCTGATTTCAAGGTTTTACTGCTAACCTACAAAGCATTACATGGGCTTGCTCCTACCTATCTGGTTTGGTCCTGCCGTACATCCCTACACGTACGCTACGGTCACAAGATGCAGGCCTCCTTATTGTCCATAGAATTTCTAAGCAAACAGCTGGAGGCAGGGCTTTCTCCTATAGAGCTCAATTTTTATGGAATGGTCTGCCTATCCACGTGAGAGACGCAGACTCGGTCTCGACCTTTAAGTCTTTACTGAAGACTCATCTCTTCAGTAGGTCCTATGATTGAGTGTAGTCTGGCCCAGGGGTGCGAAGGTGAACGGAAAGGCACTGGAGCGACGAACCGCCCTTGCTGTCTCTGCCTGGCCGGTTCCCGTCTCTCCATTTAGATTCTCTGCCTCTGATCCTATTACGGGGGCTGAGTCAAATCAAATCAAGTCACTGATTTACTGGTGCTTTCCATGCCGTCCCTAGGAGGGGTGCGTCACTTGAGTCACTGATGTGATCTTCCTGTCCGGTTTGTCGCCCCCTCGGGCTCGTGCAGTGGAGGAGATCTTCGTGGGCTATACTCAGCCTTGTCTCAGGGTAGTAGGTTGGTGTCTGTTGATATCCCTCTGGTGGTGTGGGGGCTGTGCTTTGGCAAAGTGGGTGGGGTTATATCCTGCCACAGTGTCTCCCGACCCCCCCTGTCTCAGCCTCCACTATCTATGCTGCAATAGTCTATGTGCTGGGGGGCTAGGGTCAGTCTGTTATATCTGGTGTTATTCTCCTGTCTTATTATGTGTCCAGTGTGAATTTAAGTATGCTCCCTCTAATTCTCTCTCCCGCTCTCCCTCCCCTCCCGGAGGACCTGAGCCCTAGGACCATGCCTCAGGACTACCTGGCCTGATGACTCCTGGCTGTCTCCAGTCCACCTGGTCGTGCTGCTGCTCCAGTTTCAACTCTTCTGCCTGCGGCTATGGAACCCTGACCTGTTCACCGGACGTGCTACCTTGTCTCAGACCTGCTGTTTTCAACTCTCTCTCTCTCTACCGCACCTGCAATTTCAACCTGTAAATGCTTTGCTATGAAAAGCCAAGTGACATTTACTCCTGATGTACTGACCTGTTGCAACCTCTACAACCACTGTGATTATTATTTGACCCTGCTGGTCATCTATGAACGTTTGAACATCTTGGGAGAAAAATCTGGCCTTAATGGCCATGTACTGTTATAATCTCCACCTGACACACCCAGAAGAGGACTGGCCACCCCTCAGAGCCTGGTTCTTCGCTAGGTTTCTTCCTAGGTTTCTGCCTTTCTAGAGAGTTTTTCTTAGCCACCGTGCTTTTACATCTGCATTGCTTGCTGTTTGGGGTTTTAGGCTGGGTTTCTGTATAGCACTTTGTCAGATGTAAAAAGGGATTTATAAATACATTTGATTGATAGAAAAATAAATTTGATTCAACGTAATATTTTAAACCTATCCAAAACCTTAACCCTTACCTCAACCATTCAGAATTAGTGCCTAAATAATGTTTTAACCCTATCCAAAACCTTAACCCTTAATCTTCTAAATTTGACGTTTGGAGCAACTTCGAAATGTGACGTTTGGGAGAAACGTGGATAAACGTCTAATTCTGCAGTGAGACTGTGAGAGCTTGTTGCGAGTCTAGACTACCTGTGTTGCTGCTGCCGACTGAGGAAGGGATGGAGTTGGGTTGGAGCGAGGGTCGGTTGGAGCGAGGGTCGGTTGGAGCGAGGGTCGGTTGGAGCGAGGATCGGTTGGAGCGAGGGTCGGTTGGAGCGAGGGTCGGTTGGAGCGAGGGTCGGTTGGAGCGAGGGTCGATGCAGACGCTCCTCTCTCTGTCTTTTTACCTCTTTCTCCTAAGTGTATCAGCCAATCAGACGGAATATTGATGACGATGTAAATCAAGTGTTAATCAAATGTTATACTGATGTGGCAGTACTGTTGATATTTAAACTAGGTAGCTAGCTGCACACATTCGACCGGTGACCGGATCTCATGCATGTTTGGATACCGGGCACGCGCAATCTCAGTAGAGGGCAGACTGGGGAAAAAGGCGCAACTGGGCGAGCACGAGATCTGTACAGGGCTGACCAACAGGAGCAACCAACAGACGGGGTGGGGGTGGCGAACTCGACAATGTCATGACGACTTGCAGGCAATCGGTTCAGAACAACAATGACCAAAACTTTATACAAAAAAGATATACAGTATATATATACACCACCACCCAAATGGGCACTTGGCGAGTGGGGTGGCAAAGGGGCATGTGCTGGGCACAGGTTGACTCCCATCTGTGCACGTGCCTGGGCGGGATGCTGTGGCAGTTAGCTCCAGGGTGAGCTGACACAGCAGCTATGAAAAAGGCTTGCTGCTGTGCTATACAGCATGAAGAGCTTTGTTTCACCTATAGGCTATGTAATGTTCTAGTGATCTGGTCAGTGGCTGGCAGCCCTATGATGTGGTAGGTTACACGCAGCTCTACCATCACATAGACAGGACCCGGAACTGTCCTATGTTGTCCTAGTGGTCTGACCAGATACAAGAGAACTAGGCTGACCACACCATAAAGACAAGGCCGGGTGGGCTTCAGTTCTCCGATTGGATGCTAGCAGAGTGGACACAGCACTGTACTGACCAGGTATTGGTGGCTGATGTCCTCATACTGGTCCTCTATGCTGATTGGCTGGACCTGAGTGTGGGAGATGCAGGAGCAGTCCTGGGGAAGAGGGGAGGAGGGAGGAGGGGGTGAGACATGCCCCCCGAGGAGAATAGAGGAGAGGAGTGAGACAGTCCAATAGGAGAGGAGGGAGGAGAGGAGTGAGACAGTCCAATAGGAGAGGAGGGAGGAGTGAGACAGTCCAATAGGAGAGGAGGGAGGAGTGAGACAGTCCAATAGGGAAGGAGGGAAGAGAGGAGTGAGACAGTCCAATAGGAGAGGAGGGAGGAGAGGAGTGAAACAGTCCAATAGGAGAGGAGGGAGGAGAGGAGTGAGACAGTCCAATAGGAGAGGAGGGAGGCGAGGAGTGAGAGTCCAATAGGAGAGGAGGTAGGAGAGGAGTGAGACAGTCCAATAAGAGAGGAGGTAGGAGAGGAGTGAGACAGTCCCAATAGGAGAGGAGGAGGAGTGAGACAGTCCAATAGGAGAAGAGGGAGAGTGAGACAGTCCAATAGGAGAGGAGGGAGGAGTGAGACAGTCCAATAGGAGAGGAGGGAGGAGTGAGACAGTCCAATAGGAAGGAGGGAGGAGAGGAGTGAGACAGTCCAATAAGAGAGGAGGTAGGAGAGGAGTGAGACAGTCCAATAGGAGAGGAGGGAGGAGTGAGACAGTCCAATAGGAGAGGAGGGAGGAGAGGTGTGAGACAGTCCAATAGGAGAGGAGGGGAGGAGAGGAGTGAGACAGTCCACTAAGAGAGGATGGTAGGAGAGGGTGGAGACAGTCCCAATAGGGAGAGGGAGGAGTGAGACAGTCCAATAGGAGAGGAGGGAGGAGAGGAGTGAGACAGTCCAATAGAGAGGAGGAGGAGAGGAGTGAGACAGTCCAATAAGAGAGGAGGGGAGTGGACGAGTCCATGGAGAGGAGGGAGGAGTGAGACAGTCCAATAGGAGAAGAGGGAGGAGTGAGACAGTCCAATAGGAGAGGAGGGAGGAGTGAGACAGTCCAATAGGGAAGGAGGGAGGAGAGGAGTGAGACAGTCCAATAGGAGAGGAGGGAGGAGAGGAGTGAGACAGTCCAATAGGAGAGGAGGGAGGAGTGAGACAGTCCAATAGGAGAGGAGGGAGGAGTGAGACAGTCCAATAGGAGAAGAGGGAGGAGTGAGACAGTCCAATAGGAGAGGAGGGAGGAGAGGAGTGAGACAGTCCAATAGGGAAGGAGGGAGGAGAGGAGTGAGACAGTCCAATAGGAGAGGAGGGAGGAGAGGAGTGAGACAGTCCAATAGGAGAGGAGGGATGAGAGGAGTGAGACCGTCCAATAGGAGAGGACAGGCATGCCATCATGCCCTTATAATGATAAAAGGAGGGACTTAGGACAACACTGAAGAGATACTTTTGGAGCATCAAGGGGGAGCCAATGTGGAAAACAACAGTGTTTGTTGAGGAAGACATGCAGTGCATGCCCATGAAGTGACTGCTACTTTAGAAAGAGACAGTTGAGATGGATGACAGGGTTAGCAGCAGATTGGTACCCATAATATAACCTACAGGGTAAGATAATGGCAATATGCATGGTTAATGAGATGGGCCTTATGAATGAACCCTGATAAATAAAGAATGAGTTCTAGGATTGGTGCATGGCTAGAACAATATGCTATGAGAGCGACACACTAGACACTTGGCGGAGACACTGGCTCATTAGATCATCATCCTCATCATCTTCCTCGACCTGGATGCGCTCTTTAGATAAATCATAGTCATGATCAGCTAAACATCAAAGCCATGCTGATCGAAATAAAGTATCCCTTACCAAGAAAGACATGGAGTTCTCTTCGTGGGGGTAGCGCTTCACGCGATGGCATTTATCCGCTCCACGACCACAGCACGCGCTGTACAATGAGAGCGATAGAGAGAGAGAGAGAGAGAGAGAGAGAGAGAGAGAGAGAGAGAGAGAGAGCGAGAGAGAGAGAGAGAGAGAGAGAGAGAGAGAGAGAGAGAGAGAGAGAGAGAGCGAGAGAGAGAGAGAGAATAAATAAATGGTAACATGAGAGGCGTAGTTAGGATTCCCCCTGAGAGACAGCCTCCTCCATGGGGCGCTCTGACCATACAGTTTACCTGGCTGTACTCTACCGGGCTCAGATTCCACTGCATAGGCATCTGACTTCATCACTCCATGCAAAACACTGCTCCACGTTCTTGAAAAACAAAATGATTTACATATTAAATAAGCAATAATAAAGGAAGCAGGGATTGCATTTTAACGGAGGTATCAAAATGTCTCGACAAAAATAACTATGCCAGTCGGTGACCACAAAATACTAAGATTAAAATACGCTTTACGTGACTGTTTGGAGCGCAATAGCCCGATTCACATCAGTATTCGTTACATTTTCGTGATACAGAATCATTGTAGCCACATCCGAATTGAAGCATCTGAAATGCATGTGGTCCATCGCTTTGGCTGTCGCTAAGTGCCTCGATGGATATTTTCTCCCCGTCTCTCTCCTGCCACAGCATGAATTGGAAGGGGACTTTGAGGACAGTGCGTCGTCGTGTCCCATTCTATGAGCGCGCGACCTAATGACGATTCCTTGGCCCCTGACCGTTATTGTTCTTGATGGGTCGTCGCTGCCATATACCCACCATTGTGAAAGCTTTAAGTCTACAACAGCCCTTATATAGTGACAGTTCTTGCCTGTTGTTGTTGGGGAATTATTTTGCTTTTGACCGATAGATATTCTATTGTATTGTATTCCAATCTATTCTGTTCTATTCTAGCTACTGACAGACACCCTACTGGGGGAAAAATGATTGAATCAACGTTGTTTCCACGTCATAAAAAAAAGATGTAATGGCGTTGAATCAGTGTAAAACTGATTGGATTTGCAAAAAGTCATCAACATGAGGCCATTTCTTGTTGATTTCACGTTAGTTGACAAATCAAAACGACGTTGAACTGATGTCTGTGCCCAGTGGGACGGGCCCAACACTGTAGCAGAGCGAGAGGTTGTACTTTTTGATTGTAACCTACACATTTGTTTAGTACATGTTTTCATATAATCATGTAATTTGTGGATGCAGGATTGCATATGACTGCAATGAGTTTCCAGACACTGAAAATCAGTTCATGAAATTGTCATTCCCAAACATAACAAAAGCAGGCTGGGTTTTTTAACCAACTTACTCTAACACTTTGTTCTGAATGCGAAACAAACTTGAACAAACCAAGCATGACATGAGGAAGCTTACAACTGGCAACTTAAACATTTATAATTTGGGAAAGTTAAGGGTTATGACAACGCAAAATATCACGTAATGTACAAGTTGCGCTTCCAGATATTGTTTCGACTGAAGATAATAACATATTTTCAAGATGCAATGGAATGTAAGAGAAATAGAAACAGATTACGATGCGCTAAACACACTGTTAAAACAAATGTATCTTGTTGAGAGTATGAAGTTTGAAATTTATAATTAATGGCAACAACATACTTCACCAATGTTTTTGCTCTCCTCCCAGATGATTTGACGTAATGACGTAGATACTAAACTTGTGGAAACTTGATAAAAGTTGGGATATGATTTTTATACATTTCATTTTCATCTGTGAACCGCACTGATTTATATCAGTACTTTTTTGGTATTTATTCCCTAATTCGTAGTACATTTCAGTCTTAATTCCATGTATATTAACTCTAATTTAAAAAAAATATGAATTGACAAAATAGATTTTAATAACAAATCCTTTTGTATTTAGTGTAAGACTTTTATTTAGAAACACGATTCAATACATATTGTCGCGTTATTCACACGTCACTTTTCATCCGCGCGCTATTTCATGACGTGATGTACCCATCAACTCAACCAGTCTGCCCCATAATTTTCTCCCTGTCATCTACTGTTGCCATTATTTGAGATTTAGGATTGACGGGTCCACATGTACTCTGGGATTTGTCTTATGTGTTTAAAATACATCAAAAGGTAGGTTGATGTTAAATTATATATGGGAAAATCTGGATCATAAATTACCACATCGATGGGAGAAATCCTTGCCAAAGCCCGGATGGAAATCACGGATGTGCTACTGTACTACCTAGCTCGCTAGCTTTGCTATGTTAGCTTGTCAATTTAATCAGCTGTAGGCACTTATACTAGTCATCATCACTACCCCCCCAAAATAAAAATGTCACTCTCCTCGGAACGAAATGATGAAATCGTGAGATTATAATTTTAGCGGGCGAAAACATACTTTTTGGGGATGTGCGCTCGCTATTGTCGGTTTGGTTCATTATGAAACAAGTCATTGCACTGTAGTCTTGTCAAATTGTTGCTTTGGTGCCGAGATCAATGAATATTTTTTGCAGTTGTCACTTCCTCCCATCGCAGTTTATACTTAAATCCATATATTACGCCACGGTTTTAATTATTAACCACATTCAGCGAGATGTTTTGTTGTTGTTGTTTATGACGAACACTCCACCGTGGTTACACTGTAGACCGCGAACACACCGAATATTATTCTTACTGTTGATAAACCAACAATGTAGCTATCAATGTTTGACATTGACCTATGTTGACTGCTGCAGATTCCAAAGTCAAGAAGACTATATTAGAATTCCCTGTTTAGGATCACTTAAGTGTTATGACTGGGGATTTAAACATTTAGCTAATATTTCAACTTCACATCCAATCTTTTACTTGTTGGAGTTAAGTAGATAATATTTCCACCAATCATTGGTTAAGTTTGATTTATGAACACATTAATGCACAAATTCGAGACCGAATGACAATTAGCTAATTCCTTCTTCCCTCCTAGATGTGAATGTTTCTAATTTTTGTTGATATTTCAAGTGAAAATAAGACTACAGTTTCAAGTAAATAAGAAATATTCCCCTCAGGGTGAGTGTGCTTATGGACAGTTGTTCCACTAACTACTCAGCAGACCGTCCCAGAGCCGTTGTTATATGGGCCTGGTGTTGTGATGCAACTCCTGCTCAGACAGTCTGGTATTACATGCTCCTCATGACCCTCCTGACACCCAAACAGTCATGTGCAGAAGAGAGTCTGTTAGATGTGGTCTAGCTAATTGGAGATTGTTTCTTGGGAATTACACAGAGTCAGAGGAAGAGAGTTGTAGAAACTCCTTTCACTCTACTGAGCCGAGCTGTACTGCGCTGGCCTGGTTATGCATCCCACATAGTTGCTAGAAAGGACACAGTGCGGTTCGGGTCGACACGATAGTATGAAAACGGTAAAAGTGGGTGAGAGAGAAAGAGAGGGTTGGGGCTAAGCAGTGGTGGGCTGGAGAGTCTCTTCAAGTCAGGTTGTCATAGAACTGCAGATGAGGCCTTAGTCCGGCCCTGTACACAAGATTAGATCACTTCCTTTTCTTCCCTCCATTCCTTCATAACTACAGGTAGGGGAAAGGATGGGAACAGTCTCCACCATGTTGCTTTGACCTGTCAAGCCCTTGTAGATAATTGACACTGAATGGATGGGAACAGTCTCCACCATGTTGCTTTGACCTGTCAAGCCCTTGTAGATAATTGACACTGAAGTGATGGGAACAGTCTCCACCATGTTGCTTTGACCTGTCAAGCCCTTGTAGATAATTGACACTGAAGTGATGGGAACAGTCTCCACCATGTTGCTTTGACCTGTCAAGCCCTTGTAGATCAGTGGTAGTGAATGACAGGTGATGAGGAAGGGAAGCCATTGGGAAAGCCATCTCTTGGGAAATGCCTCTATGGTTTGACCTTTCACCTTATCAGGGAGAGGGTGATGGGGCTCTGATTCTTTTCCCTTCTCCCCGACGTGTTTACTTGTTCACTGTCCCTCAGTTGTTAAAAGTATTGATTGCTTGGTGGTAGCATGGGGTAGAGGGGCTAGAATGAGCACCCAACTTGAAGAGAAGGATTTAGGCTAAACAAGGCTAGAGAATCTGTCTGCAGCCAGGGAGAGAGAAGGAAAGAACATCATGTCTCAGTTAGCTGCCTTGTCTCTTGTGTGTAGACACAAGACAGCATGTAGTGCATTGTACTGTCAACTCCAATTTGGTTTGCTGTTGCCCACTTGCACCTCCACCTTACTGCAACAGGGAAACCTTAGGTTTCATATCAGTACTTGTAGCTAACCACTGAAGTGCTGCTGTTGTGGTGGTGCCGTGGTGTACCAGTCTCACTGCTGGGTCAGCCTCTTGTTCCAACATGGAGGCTTATCCCTACTGACACCACTGAAACTAGGCCTGCTGCAGTACTGTGGGTATGGATGGATGTCATCTGATGCTAAGTCCATTTGAAAAGGTTGCGTTAAACAGGCTTGGTTGGGCTGCTTCATCTCACAGCAGGACCTCTGGGTCCTATTCACTGGGAAAGGAAACAAACGGGCCAAAACGGAATTTGTCCAATAAGAAATGCTTGTTTGCAAAACGTTTTGATACGGTGTGCACTAATGAATACGACCCTGGTTGCTGAATGGGACATCTAGGCTATTTTGCATCTAGGCATACGTAGTTGACTCAAGCACATTCTCTATGACCATCACCCCTGAAATTGGAAATAGAGTGAATACAGTGAAAAGGAGAAAGAATGAATGGAAAAGATGAATGTCACTGTAATGATAATTCCCCTGAGGATGAGTGTGCAGAAGTGATGTTTTGGGGGTTTGTGAGGCTGACTGAGTTATCTTATGTAAGGAGTCTGAGCTGCCATTTTGCTGAGGGATACTCTCGCTCTCTTGCTCTGTCTGGGTTTCCCATGCAGAGGAATACTCTTTCTTTCCCATGCAGAGGAATACTCTTTCTCTCTCTCTTTCACATGCAGAGGGATATGCTCTCTTTCACATGCAGAGGGATACGCTCTCTTTCACATGCAGAGGGATGTGCTCTCTTTCACATGCAGAGGGATGTGCTCTCTTTCACATGCAGAGGGATATGCTCTCTTTCACATGCAGAGGGATGTGCTCTCTTTCACATGCAGAGGGATACGCTCTCTTTCACATGCAGAGGGATATGCTCTCTTTCACATGCAGAGGGATACGCTCTCTTTCACATGCAGAGGGATATGCTCTCTTTCACATGCAGAGGGATATGCTCTCTTTCACATGCAGAGGGATACGCTCTCTTTCACATGCAGAGGGATATGCTCTCTTTCACATGCAGAGGGATATGCTCTCTTTCACATGCAGAGGGAAATGCTCTCTGTCTCTCTCTTTCACATGCAGAGATGTTACATCATCTTAGAAGACACTGCACTAGCCCTGACCCAGGATGAAGGTCTGGGACACGCTTGCACACACACAACACAACACAACACAACACAGTCCCTCACTCAGACGGAGACTCCTACTCTATTTTGACCTTGAAATGTTGTGGACAGCACTAGCACTACACTAGCCTCGCCCCGGGCCTAACACACCACACAGGTATGACACACTGGTCACTCTGTACCTTAGCTCTGCCTCCCAACTCCATGACACAGTCAGGAGCATTTTGCCTTTAAGACCGTGCTTGGCTTCTCATGGGAAGTTGCCCCTTTAAGAACTCACATCCTGTCTTGTGTCATCCATTTAACACTGTAAGGCGTCTCTCAGTGTCAACCAACAGGAAGGGGCTCCCCCCCCCCCCCCCCCTAATGCTATGTGGCACATTTTTGTACATTCAACGAAAACACGTTTCTGTCTGCAGCTTGCCTGCCCGACAATAGGACTGTGATTGGCATTTTAGCTGCTGGAGGAGGCTAGAAGTGGTCTCTAAAGACTAGTGTTTTCACTAGGGCCCGCAGGAGGCTAGGAGTGGTCTCTAAAGACTAGTGTTTTCACTAGGGCCCGCAGGAGGCTAGGAGTGGTCTCTATAGACTAGTGTTTTCACTAGGGCCCGCAGGAGGCTAGGAAGTGGTCTCTATAGACTAGTGTTTTCACTAGGGCCTGCAGGAGGCGAGGAGTGGTCTCTATAGACTAGTGTTTTCACTAGGGCCCGCAGGAGGCTAGAAGTGGTCTCTATAGACTAGTGTTTTCACTAGGGCCTGCAGGAGGCGAGGAGTGGTCTCTATAGACTATATTTTTGCCGTCTATGTTCTTATTGGACAGGCTAACATACACTGAGTGTACAAAACACCTCTTGGTGACCAGGTGAATCCAGGTGAAAGCTATATGATCCGTTATTGATGTCACCTGTTAAATCCCCTTCAATCAGTGTAGATGAAGGGGAGGAGACAGGTTAAAGAATGATTTTTAAGCCTTGAGACAATTAAGACATGGATTGTGTATGTGTGCCATTCAGAGGGTGAATGGGCAAGACAGAATATTGAAGTGCCTTTGAACAGGGTATGGTAGTATGTGCCAGGCGCACCGGTTTGTGTCAAGAACTGCAACGCTGCTGGGTTTTTCACACTCAACAGTGTTCCGTGTGTATCAAGAATGGTTCACCACCCAAAGGACATCCAGCCAAATTGACACAACTGTGGGAAGCATTGGAGTCAACATGGGCCAGCATCCCTGTGGAACGCTTTCGACACCTTGTAGAGTCCAT